TTATATTTTTGTTTTATTATATTTTTAAGTTATCATAATTTTACTCAATAAGAGTTATCCACCACTGCTACCTCGTTATTGAGGTTGGTTTTTAATTTACTGTTTGGTTATTTTTTGGTGTGATATTGTCTAAATATAAGTAGATATTTGCAGATATCAATGACATATATTATTTTAATATGCTCGACTAACTTGCTCTACGTCCTCCTACGTCTCCCGACCTAAAGACTCGTGCAACTGCTATTTTCGATACATTTCAAAATATTAATTGACTTTCGACGAACTAATATATATACCTAGGTATATTGGAATTAAAAGCACCACAAAATATATAATATAAGTAGACACACCCAACGATTGTTGTGTGGTCAGTACCAGCAAGTCGGTTTGTAGTATTATGTATTATATCGTACAATTGTTCCTGGTAGACGTTTACTGCGGTATATATAACAATAATTGTTGTACTAATACGTAAGACTTTCTTAAGGATTTTCTTCGATAGAGATTGGGAAAAAAAACACAATAATAAATAAATAATGTCCGTTACAATTTTTCCTAAAACAATGACGGAGAGGATAAAAGGGATTGATATCCTGACGACTGCACTCCACACCCCGCCGCACCCACTCGGCACAGACAGTCTTGGGAAATTTAAGTAGGTGCGTATACAGTAAACCTCGCCGGCCAATCAATACCGCTCAACACTCCAATCTCTATAAATATATATAGTCCGAAGTCGCGGTTGAGTGCTATTAGCCGTTTGTTTTATCCAAAATCGTGGGCGACCGCGGTGGTATATTATAGATAGGTATATGAAAAGTATATACCTAGGTATAGCTCCTTCATAATGTATACGTGCTCTGATTGAAAATGTACAGCCACAATGTTATTTCGTACAACAAAATATCGGGCGACACATAATACGTTGATTTTCATATACCTCTAGCAAGTGTTAATATATAATATGATATTATGCTAAGATAATATACTAGGTTTCAACTAAATTATAAAACTTTTATGGAGCCCATACGTATTTGCAAAATATTGACACTGATTTGGAATAATCGACTGGACAGCTTGGGCGGTGGCGAGAAACATTACGGACCTGAACTATTAACTATAATATTGTCGTATGTTTTTCAATTCCCTGATTGTTTTTAACTGGATTGCACAAATCTATTTAAATTTTAAATAAAATGAAGCATTTAAAATATGGTGTTGTTGTCGAACACTGTAATGCACATAATTATGATTTATGGTGTCGCACTGCATATATAGCATAATATATGACATAGTATAATATATATATACTTACATTTAAACTTTAAATAAATAAACATATTATTATATTTATATAATATATTATAATACATATAATACGGATGTCGGATTGATGAAATTGGGAATTTTTAAAATACATAAATACTGGTTTTGTTTCGGATTACATGAGCCGGTTGGGCCAATAAAATAATACTGCTGTCTCATTGTGAGATATGAAATTTGAACGACACTGATCAAGTTATAGTGGTTTGTACTTATTGTATAATACAGACCACAGAGCTTTAACTTACATGATAGTTATAATAATACATTTCAAATTGGACTCCCAGTGTTCACAAACACAGTAACAAACAGTTTTCACACAAATTACAATTTTAGACATCTATTAAAACACAAGTCAAGCAGTTTCGAAGTTCGCTCGGAAATCCTTTCAAAAAGCAAAATTGTTTTTCTTTCAACGTATGGGTCGCCATTAAAATATATAGTATTTCGCAGTTTGAGGAGTCAAAATAAGATCCTCCCTAGTTCCTTTTAAAAATCTAAGTAAGTAACATAAACGTTGTTTTAAAAACGGTTTTCAATTCGTTTCCTAGTTATAACAAATAATTTTGAAATTTTTTTTGGGAAAAATTGTTCCTCGACGGTGCCGTAAACTATATCTAGCTTGATTTTGAAGATCACTCAAAAACACTTCCACCACGAAAAGTAAAATTTGTATCAAAAAAGCCATCAGCAAATGGTTGATGGCTCAACCTGCGACATACTATATATTTTAATGGCGATCTATACGTTAATAGAAAAGAAATTTGGGCGATGCAGCCGTTGTTACTTGTATGTTATAGACACATACTACAGAATTGGCCAATATATTATAAAATTATTAATGTACACATTCAACCATTTTCAGCTCCATCCAAATTATTATACCTATAGGTACATTAAAAAAGTGGCTCGTAGCAGTATAAGAACGAAATTCACTATCAACACGAGCGAACTCAATGATACATTTATTAACAACCATTTTTTAATAAACAGTTAAGTAACTTAAGTACTTATTTTAAAAATAATAAAAAATGTAGAATTGTAAAACAATTATTTGATTTGATTTCTTTAAATAGGTTTCCTATAAATATAGCTTGTGTGGAAGACTAAATTTTATATTATCCTATTAACTATACAGGTTTTATAAAGAATTTGCTTGCTCAATTTGCCTGCAGAAGATAATTGCCAAGAAATTTAAAAAAAATTTTATTTTTGTAACGAGAAAGTTATGAGTTACTTTTCTATTTGAAAAGTAAAGTAATTTCATTACAATTTTATTTGAGTAACAAGTAAAGTAACTTAATTACTTTTTAAAAGTAACTTACCCAAAGACCAACACTACATAGAACATGGCAAGTAATCGTTTTTAACTTTTTAAGACCTAATGTCATATAATTTTAGTTTTACTGCAAACGAATATTTTTGTCATACAAAATAAAGAGGCTACAAAGTGAATATAATATTATGTACACTGACCTTACTTTTAGAACGACGTTTTGATGATTATTATTATAACAAATAACAAGTATGGTACATCTTTTGCAGTGTAATATTAAGTAGACCTGTATAATTTAATAATAATAATTAAATATCCAAAACCGTAGGTTGACATTTTGTGTAATTCGCTTCTTCGGCTAATATGATAAATAATATACCTTTTCCGACGACAAACGTTTCATTTCAAGTCTGCTGCTGTCGTGCCCACAATACGCACGTCTACGTTAACGTTTATCTAATATACCTACGCTTATTATTAAAGAGATATCATCTTGAAACGTTGCCTTTGTACACAGTTTTACTTATTACAGCCGATGCGTACGAACATCCGAAAATATTATATTTTCTCCGAGTAATCACACGCAGTTCTTATATATATTATTATCTAGTTTTAAAAATGTTCCAAAAACGTGCTTGGCTCCGTGTAATGTAGATATTTATAAGGATACTTGAATAAGTTTATTGTTTATTAAGTTAGCGCTGAGCTCCAGTCTTGAGGGGGGAGGTGGCGTGAGAATATTCCATCATATTGTGGTAAATTAATGAAAAAATAAGCATAATAATTGAATAATTGATTAAAACATAATTAGTTTGTCTTGCAGAAACAATATGACGGCATCATCGTCGAAATAAAAACAGTATGAAGTTTCAAAAATGTCTTTTGAATTTTAAACAAAATCAATATGTGTTTTTTTTATTATTCTGAAAATAATGGATACTTAAAATTCTAAATACGTCTTATAGCTATAGTAAACGGACTCCGCTTGGTACCTAATGTTTTTTTTTTCTGTAGAGCAATAATTTACAAAACTCGCACAGTTCATGCAATACTTGGATAGGTTCTGTAAGACATTATAGTTTTGATTTCAACTTTTACACCTAAGAGAACTATTTATATATATAGCAATTATTGTAAAGTCATCATTCATACGAGTCTTAAAAGCTTAATGTTTCGGTCTTGTAAAAATGTGAAGTAAACTGATTGCAAGTAGGTACTAGTGCCAGCTGTAAAATATAAATTTCTAATGCCATGTGTCGACGAGTCGTAATACACATATTAAAATGTTATTAATATATTATATTATTACTTATAATTATAAAATTGATAATAGTAGTGTCTTACATACTAATACTTTAGTTAAAAAAATGATTTAAGATGTTAGGATAAACAGTAATACGAAAATTTTTTAAAATATTGACTCATTTTAAACATTATATTATTCAATTTCACTGTTATATTTGCTGAATTGAGATTCTACTTACTGTACTGTTTATATTATTACAAAAGGGCACTTACCCGTTTATAAAAAAATAAATATTTATAAAGCAACATCATATAATATAATAGGTATAGGTATCTACCTATTTTATATTTATCAATATTAACAATTATATTATCCCAGTTGTCACAGGTAAACCGGACCGGTAAACCGTTATTGTCGCCCACACCGTGTCAAATACCCGTGTAATGAAGCCATCATCCCTGAGCCACAAATTGGCCTCCGACTACAGTTGTTCTTTGGGATAGGAGTACTATAGACATCTCTTGAATTTTAACAATTTGTACCACTTAGATACAATATAATATGTACACAAAAACACACACACCCACACACGCGGGTATTTCAGAATGGCGGAATTGCGCTCTACCGGTCGCGGAGGGTCGTGAGAATTACAAAAAAAATGGGTTTTTAATTTCTAACGCTTTGATTATCACCATAGAAAATAAAAATAACGATTTTAGTTATTTTGTTGTAATTAATAATATTAATTCAACTAACAGGCTATATAATAAAATATAATATAAAATATAAAATATCGAGACTGACAAACCGTCTCCGCTCAGGATCGTTTTTCGTATACAATGAAATGATATCATTGAATTCAAATTTAATACAATTCTATTATGCAGTCACCCACTTGTACGACAGAACGACATCTACTTATATGCTTTTTTTTTATTAATTACTATTATAGACGGATATACAGCAAAGTACTATCCTTGTACATTAATAATTTATATTGTTCAAATGTTTACATGTACCTAAGGTGGTATAACAAATTATTGTAAAGTTTAAATTATTATACATAATGTATTAATATTCTCTTTTTTGGGTTCAACCCGTTACCGATGTAGTTACTAGTTAGATGTATAACTATGTACATTAATATAAAATATTTTAGAGAAGTAATACATGGACTTTGAAATATTTATGAGGAGACTGTGTCTTGAACACCACATCACCTTGTTTGTTCACGTAATCTGTATAAGACAACGAATATATACATTGAAATTCAAATCTTTCAACAGCTATTGCAGTAAAATGACTGCAGCACTCCACGTAGATCATTTGAAACCCTAACTTCAAAGCCAACTCCCTAGAAATTAACATATTATTAAATTAATGTTATTAAAGTATTATCAATAGTTCTATAATATATATCTATATTCAATGTAATAATTATGTAAAACAAATTTTTTTAATAAAGAATCAGATTTTTAAGTTGTTTTTTGGAACTTTACACTTCTATAGTTCACTGCAGGAACGAACACAGAAAAATAGTTTGTATTTATTGATGGGGAGGATATTATTAATTATAGTCTGAAAATATAAATTCAAAATTAGAATTTATAATACATATAATTATTATTAATTAATATATTATACATATAATATTCAATATTCATAAATTATATATTTATATATAAGTAAAAAAATTTAAACTTTTAACCCCTGAACCCGTATAGTTATAACGACTCTAACAATTTAATAGAGATTGGAGACTGAGACAAGTGGCAGATTTTCAACATTTTTCTGAGTGGGTCCTGAAAAAATATATTGTTTCAAATGTATTATTTTAGATTCTGATAGTAGCAAATGAATGAATTGTATTTACAATGATATCCGCTTTTTAGGTTCAGAGCGAAGTAAATTAATGTATTGTATTTACTATTTATAATGATGTGTGTTTTTTTTAAATAATCCAATTTTTTCTGAAAGAAAAATGAATCTAGTTGGTACTTTTGGGAGGTCAACATTGAAAATCTCAGTAATTTTTGAAAGCGTCTTAAAAAAAAAGTGAAAAAATGGTTAGTTTTACTCAAAACAAATTTTAGTGTAGCTCAAAATCCAATAACCGCGTAGACCCTTTAAATTTTCACTAAATATTTACATTAGCACTTCCATTTATGGTGAAAATTTCGAAAATGTTTGACTATTTTTATACTAATAGTAACCTAGAGACATTATTCAAATTTTGTAAAATTTTTTTAAATTATTATAAATAAAAACTTCTTTCCCTTAGTAAAAAAGTTTGAAATTTAACACAAGGATCCTCATAAGATGTTTTAATATCTGATCAAAAATATTAAAGTTACATGTGCAAGGTTATTTTGTATATGCATTTAAAATTCGAATTTTGACAAGATTCATCAAAATCCCTAAGATTCGCAAATTATTTTTCAGTTGGAATTCCATAGAAGTTTTTCTTTTCACAGCTAAACTTAAACATTTTAATAGAAGATTCTTCACAATTTTTTCTATCTTAAAGAAATAAAGTTTACTGGAAAGTAACATTAATATTTTATGAGGGTTGAATTTAAAATGTAAAATGGTGGCATGGCAAATATTACCAATTGTAATTAACAAAAATAAAAATCGTTTATAAATTTATAGTAAGAGGAGCATATAATATCAATAGATTTAAAATGGATACTTAGTTAAACATTATGGGTATCCATTGTTATCTATAGTATAAACTATAAAGTATAATAACTGTCCAGTAATTAATGTTATGATTATAAATAAATTATATTTAATATACTTAGACTTGTCGATGAGGGCTTTGCAAACCCCTTGTCTTCTATATGCTTCCTTTACTGTAATAATTGATAACTCCATTATATGATCAATATTTGGATACTGCCCAAATACATCAATATCTTGTTCAGCTTTATCTAAGAAAACCTTGATATCATTAAATTTTGAACTTTTATCATTGTTCTCGTCGCTGTATTTTTTTATTTCGTTATCCCTGCACAGTGTGGTATTCAGCGAGACACCCATCATCTCACCTGTCTCTGCAGATACTGCCATAAGCGATAGGCCTAAATAGTAAAAATCTTGTTCGTGTTGATACATGTTACTTAAATATACAATGGTGAATATACATAAAATTCCTCAAGAGGACGCTACACTCGCCTGTGGTTGTCTCTGTCTTACAAATTTAAAACACTAAAACATGGCATAAACTGTTTTGAGTGGGAAAGAACCGAGAAGGCGACAGTCGTAACTAAGAAACGAAATTATCACCACATAAAAAGGAGAACTTTGAAATATAATTTTTCCAATTTCGGTGTTACGAAAATAGTTATTTAAGTTTCAAATAAGTACACAAAAATAATGAATTTTGAATCAAGAAGAACTTTTTTGATATAAGTGATATGAAAAAAATATAAACGATATTTCATAGATATAATGTTCTAAACTTCTTGATTATCACTACTACCTGAGTGGTTCTATCCCACGCAAAACAGTTTTTGCTATGTTGTACGTTTGTAAGACGGAGACAACCATAAACATTTAAATAAATAATTAAATAAAAAAAAAATTATTTATTTATATGTCTATGGAGACAACACACGTGGGTCCTCTTCAAGAAAATGTACAGAAGTACTTATCTTCTATATATATAAAAATGAATGTATGTCAGTGTGTGTGTCTGTGTGTCCATGTTACCATGGTTACCAAGGTTGCCATGGTTACTAAGGTTACCAAGATTTCATATCAATCTATATATATAAAAATGAATGTATGTCAGTGTGTGTGTGTGTGTGTGTGTCCATATTACCATGGCAACCATATCTGTATATAAAAAACAGTAAGCTGATTGACTGCTATCAACGCACAGCTCAAACCATTGGACGGATCTGGCTGAAATTTGGCATACAGATAGCTATTATAATATAGACGTGCGCTAAGAAAGGATTTGCCAAAATTCGCATTTTAAATAGGTGCTGAAACAGGGACATTGAGATTCACGATAGAAATTGGAAATTTTATTTTTATTTATTTATAGTTGCCATTGGTTACAGTCTACATTAGAAATTAGCATTTATTTATTGGTTGCCATTGGTTATTCGGGCAGATCAGGTACAAGCTTGCATCAAATCGAATTATTGAACAATGCTTACCAGGGTGGCAGAGTTGCACTTACCGCAGAAAATTACACCCAAAAGGAGTTCAACAATCATAATTTTTTTAAGAGTTGCGATTTTTTACGAGCAACTAAATTTATTATATTAATCCACAGTATTACATCAAAATAAACTTGGTATAACTTTGATACTTTAGAGTTAAATCATACACTTCCGTACAAACAGCACGGGGTCCGCGATCTACCGCAGGTAGATTGCCTACCTGATAATGTACTGCTGCGATTCAGAATTTTTATTCAGGGCAACGGGAAAGATAAGATAAATTTTGAACACCATACACGTTAATGAATTGAACAAAGTTTGAGTAGGTAGTATTGAGTTGATCCATTTAACGGGCGACGAAGTGCACGGGATCAGCTAGTATTTAAATATTTTTAAATTTATTTGGCCACTTTTTGCCTTCATCCCTATTTTTAAGACTTACATTCTGACCTTATTTTTTTGATTATATTTTAAACAAATGTCAATAATCAATTAACATATTACTGAATAAAATAATATCACAAGGTAGTGGTATACATACATTATATTAGTCAAATTCAGAAACATGTACGATGCCATATATGTAGATATCTACATTTTTCTGTAATCAGTTTTCTTTAATAATGTACATAAATTAATATAATCTTCTGAACTTAATATTCATCATGTGGTATTTAGGTTTACTATACCTATGTATTTCTAAGTTTTAAGTTCCACGTTTTATTTTTTTAACATTTTAAAATTCAAATATATATTACTGTCAATTAATATATATAATAGAGCCACTTAATATCCACTTAAGATCTCACGGACTTATAACGATATCATGTTAAGATAAGATACAGTGAATTTTATGGTGACAAATAATTTAAAATAAGTGTCTATGTCAAAATTACATTAGTTAGATAAAGTTTTTAACCTTTTTTTTTATCCCTCAACGCAAAACACATTATATTATTGGTACATACGTATTCAGTAATATTCTACTTTTTATATTAATGTAAACTTAATATATTATGTTTTAAGTATGTCTTATATATGTACCATCTGCAATTAAACAATTATAGTAAGGCTCACGAAAAGTGAACTTTCAAGGTCGACGGTTCAAAATATATTGTTGGAACTAGGGGTTCTCAGACTTGTAGTATTGTTCGTTCGTGCAGCTTGCTGTGCAGGTTAGGTTTCAATTTTAAAAAATCTCGCCAATATGTTTGATAATCACTTATTAAAAATTGCCATGTGGATCGCTGAAGTCAACGTTCACTTTTCGTGAGCCGTATCTACTATAAACTTAATACAGTGTGTAATAACATGTATTAAGTATGTTTTGTATGTACCATTTTTCATTTATTTATAAGCTCACCGCTTTGTAATACATCAACGCAAAAATTTTCAAGTTGTATCACTGATACTTTTTCTTCCATTAACCCTAAACTTGCACATAAAGGTTCGTCGCGGAAATAATACTGTTTTAGAAAATTCATCACATTTTGCTTATCATTATCAGTTATAGGTACTACGTCGATAGAAACTTTGATGTTTTTGATTTCATCCATGTTATTTTTCAATATCTGAAAAAAAATAATATAATGTTTACACATACCTATTATGTTGATCTACTTTCAAAATTATAACTCTTAATACAAAATTGTTTGAAAATAGTACCATGCGCGGATAATGGTCGTTTTAACATTTGGTAAAAATTTCAAGTATCTAGGTTCATTCGTTTTTAAGTTACAACAAATTATCAAAAATTACCATTTATGAATTTCTAACTGAAAAATGTTCGATATATTGTTGAATTTTGTCAAAATATTAACTTCAATTGCATAAAAAAAATTCGTGCCTATGTATTTCTGATTTTTTTGAAGTCTCATTTGTGAAACTTATAAGGAATATTATATTATATAGTCAAGCTTTTTTACTGGGTAAGTGAAAAATTTTTTATCGAGAATAGTTAAAAATAATAATGAATTTCTAAAAATTTCTCAAGGCTATAACTAGCCCAGAAAAAGTCAAAATATTATAAAAATGTTACCATTTTTGTGAAATGCTAATATAAATATTTGGTGAATTTTTTTGCAATGCTCTACGGTTATTAATATTTGAGTTACACCAAAAAACTAAAATCGATTTTCTCATAAATTGGTTTTGAGTAAAAATTATTACTTTTGTTTTGTTTTTCTCGACTCTTTCTAAAGCTACTTGGAATTTTCAATTTTAACCTCCTAAAAGTACCAACTAGGTTTACTTTTCTATCAGAAAACATGCTGATCTCAAAAATCGAAGCATGCTTACTATCAAAAATGTTGCTGATAGACAGAAAAAAAACCACACTCATCATTGTTATACCAAAATACATTATTTCGCTCCGCTCAGAATCTAAAATTGTTTATGAATTAATAAGTAACAATGAAATAATATGTTATTTAATAAGTATGGAATATGTATTGCATTGACTTTTAAGTAAAATTAAACATGTTTAACCAATATAATAATTGCAAAATAGTATAAAAACAGTACTTACCATAACACTATTGTCATTCAATACGGGACCGATGTCCGATGTATATCGATTCAACGAGCAATTGTTAAATGAAATTTAACACGATTATAGAAAATAGGTACAATGATAGAATAAGAAAAATAGATAATATTATGTAGTCTTTGAGGTATTTTTTATCGACTACGGATAATACAGTGGCGTATTTAGGATTTATTTGAGGGGGGAGATATGATTAAAATAGTTATTCTCCCTCCACTAGAAGTCTAGAAATACACGAATACATCTATTTTATTTAACATAACCTCCCTGATGCCAATGTCCCAGCATTTTATTAATTACTGATAAAGTGATAAATGGAAAACAAAACTATATATCAGGGTCAGATTTAGAGAGGGGCCGGGCCCCGGGCCTCCACTTAATGGGATTTATTTTGCATTGTCAATGTTTTTTTTTAATAAATTAAAAAAATTAGAAACTTCTGATCTACAGTCTGCTGCAAATTATCTTGTTAGCATTTACCCAAATATGATTTAAAATCTTCACTTGGTAATGAATTCATACAGTTCAGTTAATTTGCAAAATATAAATAAAAATGCGTGAAGATAATGTGAAATGTGAAATGTTATCATACAGGATAATTGAAGAAAATAATTTGCATTTTGCAGTTTACATATCCTAATATAGAAGTAGTGCTGCGAATATATTTAGTTTTCATAGTGTCCAACTGTGATGGGGAACGATCATTTTCAATACCGAAGTTAATTAAAAACTGACTACGAACTTCGACAACACAAAGTCAACTATCAGGCCTTGCACTGTTAAGTATCGAAAGTGACATACTTAGATCATTGGATTTTTCTCAAGTAGTTGAACAATTATTTGCGGTGACGAGATCTCGTAAAGTTATAATATGATAAAAATTATTATCTTGGTTTAGAATATATATTATTATATAATGACAGTAGGTACATATCTAATAAATGTAATTTTATATATTAAATAAAAGCAAAAAAAAAAAAAGGTGAAGTGTGTAGATATAATTTATTTTAATATAGGTAATTCGGCACTGATAATATTCCACTTTAATATAATTATATAATATTACTAGCTGATCCCGTGTACTTCGTTACCCGTTAAATGTACAAATTGTATATGACTCAAACTTTGTTCAGGTGTATGATATTCTAGATTACTCTGAACTTTTCTGTTGCCCGGAATAAAAATTCTGATTCGCGGTAGTATATTATCAGGTAGGCAATCTACCTGCGGTAGATCGCGGACCCCGTGATGTTTTGTACGGTGAGCAATACCAATAAAACGCAAAGGGGCTGATTAAAAGGAAAAATGATTAAATTACTAAAATGGCTATTAAAAAATAAGGGTTGATCGTA